AGGAATCTTACAATTGGAACGCAAAGAATGGTTGCACAGAAACGCGAAGAATCCTTACACAGGAATGCAGCGAATTCACCCCATATCCACGTGTCCACATGACTATAATCACACTGTATCGAGACACCTTTAAAGACTCGTGAAATTTCTTTCCATCTCGTGTTATTGCTATACATTAAACTCCAAAATTATGACTAAATAATCACTGGCCCCTTGGGAAACAGTTCGTTTCTCGGAGAAAAAAAAACTGTTTCCCTAATGAACAGTAATTAAGTGTAATGACATACCGTAGAAAAAAGTAATGACATAACATTCATGACATGGCATGCTTTATGCTTAAAATGTTAGTTTTTGATTATTCGCCTCCTTATCTACATAGGTTGTCCATCTACGTTTGAAAATGTGACGTGGAATGATGCAGTTTATGGCGATTTTGACGTACAGCCATGTCCAAGAGGAGCGAAAGGTTAGTCAAGCTATCCTCTACCACTTTTATATGAGCTAACAGAGAAATCCAGAAGCCGAAGCGCTGGTCTGCGTTTCTATTCCGGGCCTTTGTCAATTTAACTTTTATTTTATGTTAAGGTTTTGCCAAGCGAAACTGTTCTTCCGGGGGGTTCTGGTACTACCCGGACTACACAAGCTGTAAAAGTGTTGAGTTTGAAAACCTCAGAAATCAGGTCAGTTTTGAAAGTGATTTGCTGATAATTTACATCTGTTGAATTACACTTACCAGCATGCTTTTCAGGTCAATATGCATCCCAATAGTAATAAGAACAATAAATAACAGTTATTCGTTTAAGGCGAATAATTGTTTTAGTATAATTTGGTATAATTTTCAGTGGTGAATATCATGAGCTACAAAATAACGGGCTAAGGCATAGAAACACACTCTCTTCTTGAAAGTGTTGTGCTGTGTCGGTGGGCAGGAGTATCAGTTAGCTATTTAGGTCAATTTAATTGCTGCAGCGAGTCTGTGAAGCAGTCGTGTCGAGGGTTAGCCCGTCATCGGAGCAAGAGTGTCGAAAAATCGAAACATCAGTTTCAAAGAACTCGTTACACAGATGAATGTACCAACCTCAAGTCTATAATCCACAAAGTGCTTTTCAAATTCTGCCCTTGTCCCTTAGAAAATAGCTAAATAACCCTTGTGAAACCCATATGTGATAGTTTCCTCCTTACGATATTTTGCTATTGGTAATACACCTTATTCCAAAATTGCAGCCAGTTTATTATTCTTTTGTTTACATGGTAATTAGCCCTCTTTGCCTCGTCAACACGTACAGAATACAAAAGCAGTTTTGAAGTGAAAATGAGGCAAAGGGGGCTAATAAACATGCACACTAAAGAATAATAAATTGACCGCCATTTTGGAATAAGATGTATAGTAACAAATTATTTACACCAATTACTAGTCCCAAGGGTCACAGTAAGTTTTGTTTTCCCGAGAATCTCGCTGTGTAGCTGGAGTTTAGTGTATAGTAATAAAGCAAGAAGAATTACCTCTAGGATACAATCAAGATAAAGGACACCTGAACATTTGTACATTCAAATTCAAGTCGTAGGAGCAAACTAACCCTAAAGAGGGTCAGTTCTTTGATATAAGTTACGTAATGCATGAATGTAGAATTCCAAATAACTTTTCATGTGGACGTAAATTGATAAATTCAAGCGTGGATGGTGAATGTTTTATTCTCATTTTGAACATCTGCTTACAGTGCGACGCTTTGAACGTTCGAATTTTAAGTTCAGAAGTCTTCTTATTGGCAGCTGTGTATTTTCGGAAAGAAAATGTCAAGTCAAAGTAACCTGTGGCTAGTATGGAGAGCTGGCGACAGCTTTTTAATTGTACGCCCATCGGGCACCATTAACAGCACGCCTTAGATTAGCTTCATAACAATGTTTGTAAGCAGATTTCATTGTGTGTTTTCATTGTATCTTGTTGGGGCTGCAGGTCAAGCAATATACAAGTGGTATCGTAAATAACGAAAATGTAGAAAGGAATATCCTAACAAGCTTGGAAAATCTGTTTAACTTGTCGACACCAAATGAGGACTTCGCAATGATGGCAGGGGATGTTGCTATAAGCGCAGAAATATTGGAATTCATCGTTGATTATATTACTAAAGAAAACCAAGATGACGCTCACAGCTCCACCGAAGTCAAGGTAACATGTATGTTTGTATGTTACTCTAAAAGCAAGGATTTATTTCCCCAAAAAGAGTGAGGTTAAGATGTATTTTAATATTTAAACATTGACTAAATTGCTTTTTGTTCATCAGTCAATGATCAGAGAAATGAATGAGGCAAACTTGTTCAATAAGATTTTTATTATTATTTTATGAATTTATTTGATTCGTGGTCAATCAGATCAAAGCATAATGCTTGTTAATCAAGTTCCTCACAGATAATTATCGGCCCTGACTCGTCCAACTTGTTTTCCTGTGCCTGAGGGTGCGCCCCCCCCCGCCCCCCGTAGTCATCTGATGTTTACTTGCTCATCTATTTCATCTACTAGTTCCGGAGCCGTACTTTCTTAAACGTCTTCGTATGGATGCGCTGCGACGGTCAGCACTGATATCCATCTTCTTTTCCTTTTATTGCAATTAAGAAACGATCTGGAAGCGGCAAACAGAACATTTGACGTTCTAATAATTATTTTTCTCTTTAACAGCATGTTATCAACGTTGCAAATAGCGTTCTTCACAGGAATAACGAACAGGAGTTTATAGTCGCTCAAAAGGTGCTGTAAAAATCGTGTTTGAATTTTTGTAAAAACCTTCAGAGTGTTTCAGTATTTATTAGCATTCACAATATCCAACCTAAAGTTTCTTACTTTTATTCGTCTTTAGTTGCTACAGACGGCATCAAGATTCATAAGAGTTCTTGAGACATATGGTCTCCAGGCTGCTCGGGTAACTTCATTTGAGGGCGACAGGAATCTAGAAATATTTATATCCGAGAATGTTGGTAAGTTATTTATATATGTTATGGAGATACGAGCAAAGAACTAACTGAACTGACCTGATTCGACGGCGAGAACTAGATAAGAGTTTTAAGATAGTGATACCCTCTAAATTATGCGGAAAATATGCAAGCGATGCACTCAATGGCCGTTTTTATACTAAAGACGCATTATCCGTCTGGACGAACTTGGGCAAACATTTGTAGTTCGTCTGGTTATGCGTCTCTAGTATAAAAACGGGCACAAGACGTATTATGCGTCTAGACGAACTATCTCTCCTAGCTCGTCGTTCAAGACGAATTTCGAAGTGTAGTTCGTCTAGACGCATAATACGTCTTGTGCCCGTCTTTATACTAGAGACGCATAACCAGACGAACTACAAATGTTTGTCCAAGTTCGTCCAGACGGATAATGCGTCTTTAGCATAAAAACAGCGAGGACGCATTGTCCTTCTGGACGGATAATGCGTCCTCTAGTGTAAAAACGGCCAATTACAGTGTCTTACTAGTTCAGTTTAAGAGAAAATCATGATGACACTTGTTATTTTTGGTAACAGTTATGGGTGCTGGTAAAGCCGATCCCGAGAGTATCTCAAAAGATGTCATTTTTCCAAACTACGAGTGGGCCGAATTGGCAAAAGTTCAACAACAATGGAATGTCACCACGTTCGTGGTGTTAAGCCAGAAAGTAATCAAATCCATGAATCCTGGTAAGTCAACGGAATGTTAATTTGCTTTACTTACTGTATAGTAAAAAGCAAAAAAGTAAATGTAACCCGATAAGCGCGAGCAAATACGAGCTCTTTTTACTCTGAGTGTCTGAAGGCTTTGGTTTTACCGGAGACTTAACAATAATGATTAGTAGAATTCTAATTGGACACTGATGCAATTGCTGCAATCTGATTGAGTGATCGCACACTATCAGCATATATCACTATTAGCGTACAGTGCCTGGAGGTCGTCTACAAAATGACGACGGTTCGTTGGTTTTCTAAAGTTTTGAAGGAAAATTTTAATGCAAATGGATAATTAAATTCCTGAGAAGACGAAAAGAAGGACAGTAACGATTTCTTCACTTGAAATTATTGAAAAAGAGATGCGCGAGCGCACCAACTTCAATTTCAAATGACAATTCAATCCGAGCGATCTTTCTAAAACATAAAGTTTAATAATACTTCGAAAAGTAAATTTCAGTTAGAATTCTACTAAAACAATTAGATTATTTGCTATCTCCTCATAGAAATCTCGAGCTCATAATCCAATTGTTAATTAGAGTACTACTTCAGGTTTCCAGATTTAATGACTGTCCTTGAGTTTGCTTTCAAATATGTCGGTATGTATTGTAAGAGCTCGTTTCAATGTTTTGCACGGATTCCAGTAAAAATTTCCATTTGTGCTGTCAAGAACGTCGTTATGACTGCATATCATTGAGGTAATTTGTATAAGAAATCACATGATTTCGACTCCGATTATTTAGAATAAATTAGCACAAGTAAATTTTTGTAAGACCAAAAAAGCATTCAACGAGCCCGTAGGGCGAGTGCAATTGGTCGTCGTTGAAACGTTTACGAGAGCTTATTTATTGCAAATGAAATGATAATAATCATTTGATTACTTGTTAATTTTAAATATGCAGTATAATTTCAACTTCAAATTTCTGTTTGGAATTAACTGACACGCTCTCACCCAATCAGCGTGCTGAGAGTTTTGCATGTATATTACTACTAACAATATCGAAATACGGTGTTATTTCTGATAGAAGGCTTTGAACCATGTCTTGACAGATTCAGTTCTCAAAAGTTATCTTTCCTAACTACATAAGTAATTTTGTTCATCTTGATTACAAATCATGTCCAAATTTCATGTCTAATTTCGTCTGTTTTTATATTTTATTTTTTGGCTTTCAAGGTAAAAACGGAATAAGATTTGCTGGCTTCTTATATAGAACACTCACCAGGATCCTTTCTTTTGAAAGGTGGGTACAGTCAGTCAAATCGCAATACTATTTACTTCACTATTTACTGCCAAGGTAAACTGAGAGGAACGATAGACAAATCTAACCTTGCTTTGAACAACTAAACAAACGGAAGAAAAAAAGACATTTTTAACCTTGGAAAGGGATTTAGCACAAGCACTGATACGGCTGAACATACAAACATCAAAAACGCATATAATAAATGAACAAGAGGCTAGGTCAGAGGGAGGGGGACCAGTGGACTTTTAACCATGCAGGAAACAACTTCAGCTTTTTGTCAAAACGGGACAACTCGGAATTCAGTTTTTCACGACTGGCGCCTTAGATGTTTGGCCAGGCTGGCTCCTTAAGAGAGTGACATGGTGTTAACTTGTGCAATCTTACATTTTTAGTGCGTATAGTGACAAAGGTATGGCCTTTGAAATCAACTCAGCAGTAATTTCTGCCTCCACGGACCCAAAACCAGATTCCAAATTAACCGATCCCGTCATCATCGCCTCTAGTAACCTGCAAGAAGTTGATGTAAGTTGACTTATTTGGTAATATATATTTTTCATTTAACATTGAAGGCTTCAAGATTGTTATTTGCCTGTGAATAAAAAGTTTATTAACCGGTGACCTGTTTATTTCAGCTCGATGGTGATGAGCCAATTTGTGCATTTTGGGATTTTAACATGTAAGTATAACGATAGCTTTACTTTACGTGCAACCTAAATTTGGTCACCAATTAAGAAGCAATAGCTAATCGGAACTCCTTTTCTAGGAATGCTCCTCACGGGGGATGGTCTAAGGAAGGCTGCAACACCTCTTCGTACAATCGTATGCGAACAACTTGTCGGTGTGATCACATGACTAATTTCGCGGTGTTACGGAACAGAGCTCTTCCTCCAAACGTACAGAAGGTAAGTGCAAGCGTCATATAGGAAAACTCACTGAATACAGTTATCAAGTGTCATCAAGGAAAAGTCACTGAATACGATTATAAAGCACCACTGGTTCGACTTAAGGACGGTGCTCGCTTTTATTAGTGCGCACACGTTCTGCGCATCATGCAAGGCATGGTTTAAGCGCCACGCGCGCGCTGGGGTTGACGTTGACGTAATCAACCACGCTTCCAAGTACACGACTAAAATGAATGCAAAATTTTCCTACTGTGACCAAATCAAGTTTAATGAACCTGTACTTACACCAGGAACACCAGAATAGCAGCATACCACTAACTGTTAACGTCTTTCAGATGAAAAACTAGCAGTTATCTGTCAAACATTATAGCGGAGCTCCGGCGGCCCGAAGGGCCGCGAAGGGGAGCCCCATACTCATATTATTACTAAATTCACTCGTACAAAACGATAGTTCCAAAACTTTTGTAAGGGTTCCTTCCTTTGCAATGCTTTTGTTAGATACCCTATTTGTCAGCGATTAATTGTAACTAGTCTGTTAAAAGCTGTGTTTAGATGACGTGCTTTCATTTTTTCTGCAGATAACATCAGGAATAAGTGACTTCATCCATTGTCTCTTGATCGCTTGCTGGATAATAATCGCATTTGCAGGAATAACATTTTTACTTCTCTTAATTTTAAGCCCGTAAGTACAATAATATAGATTTGTACTACCCTTTTCAAATTCCGTATATTAGCACATTTTATCCAAAAGCAGCCAGCGAACAAGTGCCATTTTTGGCAAACTGTAATGTGCAGGGTTTCATGTAACCGAACAATTGAGAGAACGGATGCTGAAGCTGGGAGAACTTAACACATTTATTCAACATGAGGTCGAAAAGCATGTGGCAGATCTCTACCTACTGCGCATGCGTAACGTACATGGATATTCATGTAATATAACACGGACCTTCGTTGAAGCCCTTTTTATTATTCAATCAAAGAAAAGCGCCAGAACATCCCAGTCATCATGGCGCAATTTCCTAGCGATTTGGAGATGAAAATTGTGGGCCCAGTCCAGTGTCAGAGCCCGGAAATTTTCCCTCTCCCGCCACTGTTTCGTTCGATTAAATGGGATTCTTAACTAGGTTTAGCAAATTTTTAGACACTTACATTAATGATACCCTGATGATACCCTTGTTAAACAAAGTGAATTATTGAGGTGAACTTCTCCAATGAGAAGGCGCATGGTGCGTTTTTTTCTGTTTCGCTTTCAGATGGTTGAAGCCAGATCGTACATGGGTGATGCATATGTGTGTCTGTGCTTCGATCCTTGTAGCCTTTGTTCTAATCCTGCTCGGTCTAGCTTCTTATAACGACTTGGTAAGATGAAGATGCTAGTGGCGGTATAATTACTAGCGGTACTTATTGTTGCTTCCTTATTACAAGTGAACAAACTGGAACTGATTTATGGAGACAAATAAAGTGGATCTGTGATAAGATCGCAGATTCATGGTTCTGTTTCAAAGTTGACCAGCGCTCTTAATAGCTTTGACATCGCTTCTGCTTACTTTTATGCAGTTTTGGTGAATTAAGATGCTCCAAATGTTTGATAGTTACATAGCTGTAATTTATTGTTTGCTTGTAGGAGTTGTGTAATCTTTTGTCGTTCCTGGTTCATTATTTCTTCCTTTGCTCCTTTTCGTGGATTCTTGCCGAAAGCGTTTATATGAGAACTTGGGATACGGAAAATGGACCGAAAAAGAAATACTGGATTGGATATTTCCTGCTTGGTTGGGGTGAGTCACCGTAAATTTAATCTAAAACGTTGTTGTTTTATTTCAATAATAATAACTACAATGACAATGAGACCCTTTTGTCATTTCCTTCAAGGTTTGCCTGGAATTCCAATGCTCATCACGTGGTTTATAAACAAGCTTTCGGGTTTTGAGAGCTACCTATCGTAAGTTTTGTTCCTTCAAACACTTCTTAGCAAGTAAGTTTGTTTATAACCTCCCCCCTCAGACAACCAAATTAAACGGGAAAAACAATAGCGGTAAAGGGAAAGACTCTTTCAGAAGATTCTAAGCAATCTTTACACCATCATAATTTAACTCTTAAAATTATCCTGAGAAGCTCAGCAATAATCAAACGTAATGTATTCTACATCCAGTCTTCTTGACAATATACAAAGGTTTACATAGACGCTATTAATGATCATAGCTGATATGCATGGCATAGATATAAAAAACAATGATTCCGTAGGATCCGCTTTGTAGATTCTACGAAGAAAATACACGGAATAATAACGCTTAAATTTTGTTTGCATTAGGTGCTGGATGTCCTTGTTTAACCCTTTGATATGGCTGTTCTTCATACCGGCGTTAGTTTTCTTTGTGGTAATGTATCTTTCGCATCTTTCAGTTGTTTCATTTTCGGCAATCAATCAGAAAGTGACTGCAAGCTAGTAATCCTTGTTCTAACGTTTTCCTTTAGCTTAATTAAAATCTAAGAAAGTAGACGCTATCAAAGCTTTAAGTTTTTTTCGCGTCTTCGCTGTTTTTCACTCAACTTAATTGTTCTCCACCGTTTAATCCCCCAGGTTTTTTAGTTCCTAAACTTCATTTTTATTTTTGTTGGTTGCAGTTTAATTGTGTAACATTTGTCTTAATTAAAGGGTCACTTACTTCACTTACAATGAAACGAAAATAGAATTACATAAGTGCATTGAAGTTAACATACTTAAGATTGCATTACTCGATTGACCAATTAGCAATAACTTAAAGCAAATAGACGGCACGCAATTCATTCATAAGAGATGACACATTAGAATGCGTAAAATATTTGCAACCATGGAAATTGCAAAACAAACTGATGTTTAACACCCGGCTTGTTCAATCGATCCAAACCGATCGAAAAATCAATGGAACTTTAATCGTTTGACTGTTTTGCGATTGGTTCTGCATCAGAACTCCAAGTTTATGATGACTGGTTCGATCACCGAACTCGATCACCGAACTCGATCAAAATTAAAAGGGGTAAGATGAAGAAGAGCATTAACAGCGGAGCAAATGAAACTGCCTTTGTAATATAAAGGTTGTCGGATAAGTCCGGGACGAGTTAAAACTCCCGTTAAAACTGGGCCTTAAAGGAGCACAGTCACCGTTTGCGCATATTGAAAAATATAGCCTCAATTTTTCAAATTCGTCGTTTGTAATCCGTGTTAATCTTCTCCATCCTTAGCCATCCTTGTTCCTTTATGGTTTATCATTATGTCTTTGGTGTTTTTCTACTTATTAAACTGTTGTTTTTAGGTTTCCTTCAATTTAAAGGTAATTTTGTATGTGGCCAAAATAACTCAAAATACCGTGACTGAGCTCCTTTAATGTGTAAAGAATGACCACACAAATAAGATATTCACTTGGACGACAGTGTACAGTATTTGTAAAACAACAATAAATAGCGCCACCAGCTTTCTCATAATATTTACTCACCACAGAAAGATGGCGGATAGCAAAATGGAATTTTTATTCGTAGTGTTCCTCGGTTTAATTCAGGGAAATTCATAACCCAACAGGTCTAAAGGAATGCTGTAAGCCTGCTACTTCATTCCCTAAAGAAGGAGAGGCTTCAGTATGGAACAAAAATTTGTTTTTTCGGCCAGACCTTTTGCTTATCGTGACTGTGGTCTGTTACATTTCTCCTCTTCATTTAGTTTGGACTAAATATTAAGGCTGAATATTTTACACTGTACTGAATACCTGGCATGCTTTCCTTCGGTAGGTCACCTGCGTTATTTTCGTGATCGTATGGAGAGCAGTAACTGGATTACCAAGACAGAAGCTGAAAGCAGACTACAGAAAAACACGATTCAGGTAACTGATATCACATGGGCATCGCCAAATATCAGAACAGTGTTCAGTACGAGAAAGTATGCGTAACATGGTACTTCTTTCCATTTCCTTTATAGACGTGTTGTTGTTAAGACTAGTCTACAAAACATGATTCTGTTTTTTCAGGGTCCATATTCGTTACTGCATCATCCTTATGCTTATGTTCATGATCACGTGGCTGGTTGGCATTCTTTTGATCACTTATTATTGGAAAGCGTTGCTGTGCGTCCTGTTCATCATATGCTGCGTAATCACGGTGAGTGAAGTAACGTATTTTTAAATTGTTCAACTCGTAGTGGTATACGACACCAGCAAAAGCTGTCTCGATTGTTCTTCTTATGTCGTATAATAACGATTATTATTTTGAAGCAAGTATTCTTTTGTAATTTCAGGGATTTATGCTTTTGTTATTTTATGTGATCATGGATAGACAGGTGAGCTTATCACTAATTAATGAAAGTGAGTTCCATTTTGGTGGTTACATCTAGCAGTCTACGTTATGGCTCGGCCCGGAAAGTGGGCACTGCTAAAGCTTTTATATAAGCTGAGGGTTTTTTTTTTGGCTCTTCTCAGCTTGATAATCTTCGGAATGTTTAATACCACTAATCTGAAGTGTCATATATTTGCTTCATTATTGCGGATGACGTAATTTTGTGACAACGTTTCGTTTAATTTCTCCTACGTGTCCAGGTCCGTGATGCCTTCAGGCAGTGTTGTTGCTATTGTAAACGAGGCCGACGAGGAAGTTACTGGGTAAAAGGAGATAACGTGTGGGTACAGAAACCACCGGAACAACTTGAGGTAAGCTTATCTCGCTAATCTAGTCAATAAATATTCCACTACTTGTCTTCTTACTGACTCAATTAACTACTGTAGATGATCGAGGTTATTTGAAATTTCTTACTCAAGCTACATAATAAACGTTTCAAATAAGATAATTTTTAAAATAACAATTTAAAATCACGTGTTCGAGCTTCGTCGTTTTCTGATTTGTGGGTAACTCGAATCCTTTGCAAACTTTCTAAATTATCTTTGTTTGTTTTGATTATGTGTAGAACTACATCAAGCTTAATAATTTCTTGCGACACCACTAAACTTTTATTGATTTGACCATTGAATAGTACGAGTAGCTTATTCGCCTAGCGCCTTCCCTGTTTCTTTGTTGTCTAAACTAGACTGTTGCGCGAATAAAAAACTCTCACTTTTGGGATTCATTTGCGACTTTTGCCGTTTCTGAAAAAAATGATAGTACTAATTTACATGAAATATATTGACATTTCCAGTTATATTGAGATTTTTGTAAATCTTAGTTGCGTGAGCCGTTTCATAGTATTAGCGCTATATAAATGTACAATTGTTACTACTACTATTATTATTATTATTATTATTATTATTATTATTATTATTATTATTATTATTATTACTATTATTATTACTATTATTATTCCTTATTTCTTTACTGGTTTGTTTCCGTTAGTACCAACGGCCAGAGGAAGAGCGTTTAGTAACTGGAAGTGTAGAAGAACAACCAGACCAGGAACGCGACATTGAACTGAATGGCCGAGAATCGACACACGAAATCGAAGAAGCTTTACTTAGACCTGGGACAAGACCTGAATTAGAAGAAAGGCGGTCACTGGAGTCTTCCAGAGAGAGTTTTGAGGATCCTTTCTATGAGAGTTTGAGGCAGTCTGTTACTGTTGAAGTCCAGCAAGTCCCGTCAGAACCGAAAGAGGAACCCAGGCAAGAGCCTATATACGCAAAGGTACAGTGAAAAAGGCTTCTGAACAGACATGCAGTTTACAGAGATTACATTAAAACAACAACTTTTCCTTAAAGCGAAACAATCATGAATTAACCTCCTCTGAACTCAAGGATCTCTTTACAATTGCAACTTCACGAGCTCATTTAAAGAGGCGTTCTAAGATCAATTTCATGAGATGGCAGTGGGGTCTCCACATACTCTTGTACTAGCAAACCTATGTTATGGACACCATGAAAAAAACTTGGCCACAGAATTTCAATTCTGCAGAGATATTTTTATACTTTTTATTTTCCTTTTTTAAGTGGATTATACGGTCTTCCTTGTTCACTCACAAACTAATGCTTTTTCATTCTTCTAGTATATTAATTCTCAGCATCCCAAGAGGAATCTAATCACAGACTGCCATTTTTAGATGTCCACGTTGACAACATTTTCATATCTTCAACTGTCTGTGTTTGCTTCTTTAATAGGTAATCAAACCAAAACCTCCAAGACATCCTGAATCGGACAGCGACGATGAGGACCTGACTCCCGAGGAGCGGGAAGCTCGAGGAATCCGTGGATTAACACGGGAGCAAGTTATCCGCATGGCAAAGAAATCCGACGCCTCTAAGAGAGTTCTGAAAGATTATGAGAGTCCCTCAGGAAGCGCGGAGATCCTGGACCCGAATCAACCAGTATACTTATTAAATCAGCAGGAGATGGACGAAGAGCTTAAACACTTTCGAGCATTCTTTGCCCAAAGCGAGCCACCTACAACAAGCACACCCACGAAGGAAGAGGGTGCCTCCACAAGTCTAGAGACAACCGACAGTTTCGTAAAGAGAGAAACATCGACCTCGGTGACAAGGACCCAATTCTCGTCCTTTTCATCACAAACGGATCAGAGCTCCGTAGTGCACAAGAGATACGACAGAGAGGAGAGCACTTCAAGTTCAATTACCAAGAAAATAATAAGTCAAGAGAGTCAGGAGACTAAAAGTACATTCCAAAAGACAGTTGGTACGTCACTGAAGTTAGAAGAAACAGCGATCGATTCTTCTTTGGAGGAACTTGAACAACGGGCTGACGGAGACGGAAATGACTCATCAAGCAAGCCTACTGCTGTGGTAATAGTTGCATAGATAAAAATCTTGTGTCAAATCTTGTCTGTAATGGTGTCTGTTTCCGTCCTTTGAGCACCCCACTGAGAATAGGAATTACTCTACTCCAAATCCATAAAAACGTCCTATTATTCATCCACTCTGATATTTTGGCGTACAGATTTTGTTATCGGTAGTTCAACTCTCAGGCCACGTTATTTAAACAGCCAAGTTATCAGCTTCCTGCTGGGATGAAATTAACATTACCCTACACCTACTCTTTAAGGAAATGGGATGAAATCAACATTACCCACACCCACTCTATAAGGAATTTAGATAAAATCAAGATTACCCTATACCCACTCTCTTGGGAATTGGGATGAAAGCAACATGACCCCACACCCACTCTCCTAGGAATTGGGATGAAAGTGTTATTATCCTACACTGGCTTATTGGATTTGAGGAGGAAAAAATAATAATGAAGCTAACTACATTGTTTGTGACAGAACAATAAAGTTTTTTTTTCTTATTTTTCAGTAGAGTGGTGACAATGAGGACCTACGTGTAAGTTTGTTGAGTTACTTTACAGCAGCACATCATGGGCATACAGAGGAAGACGAATGGCGTGATTTATTTGAAGCTCTTAAAGAGTGAATATTGTTTAGGAAGTGCAGGCATTTCAGTTCGAATAGTTCTTAAAATGTTGTAGGCAAAATTCTAGATTGTATTACATTGCAAAACAATGGTTGTGCGTAATGATAGATAATAGATATCTTTAGACCGCTGTTAACTTCTTTTAGCAATGCTTAAGAGATGTATAGAAAATAGTCTCGTCACCCAGAAAATGCGGACTCTAAACACAATCAGACTTAAGTCCTGAATTTGTACTTTTATACTTAAAATTGCCTGAATTTGTACTTTAATACTTATAATCAGTTGACTGTAGGTTGGGTTTCAATACTTGTGATCAGGGTCGTTTTTGGCATTTTACACAGCCCGTGGTGACTGGAATCATATATGAATAGTTTAAGGCCATTACGACGTCATAATCAATTGCCATGGCAGCGCTAAAGGTGAAAAAAATGTCTTCACGTTACCTGTCGTGGCTAGTAACTAAACTACAACATGTTTATTTTACATATTTTTTCCCCTTGATATAATGAGCATCTCAACCACATTTGGCTCGGAAAGGTCTAAGCAGACGTTTTTACAACTTGCTCAAAATAGAATCAAAAATACTGTTCAAAATGTTTATTCTGAGAGGAACCCAACGAATCTGTTCCCCAGAGGAATTCTTGCTGGTTGGGAAATTATTTTCCGTGGCCTTGCAACTGTGAATTTATCACTTCTTCTCTTCAAACTTGTCTCATGGAAATTATTAATTTAGATCTGGCTGGGATAAAATCCAGTGAAGATCTGCTATGATACTATTCAGTACTAGTTTAACACAAACAAAGACTATTTTGGTGTAATATATTCTGAACAAACACTCATTTCTATCGATGATTTTTAAAGGAGCTAGGTCACGTTATTTGAGGAATTTCTTTTATATTTCGTTAATTACGACCTCTAAGCTTCAAATTGGCAGAGCAGCAGTCTTTTATTGGCAGAATCAGTGCCACGAAAAATCTAGGATGTTTCCCGATCGTAAAAATGACAAATTGAGTTAGGGCTGATGCAATCTATTTTAATCTTCTCCAATTTTGCCCTTCCATGTCCCTTTCTTTCTGTGACGAGTTTGAGTCCTGTGCAGAGTTAATCAGTTCTTATTGTGATATTTCAGTTGATTCTATGACCAACTGGTCGCTGCTGAAATTGTATGAGCTTAACCCCTAACTGACTGGGCACTGTAAACGTTCTTTTTAGCTGGCTGGCTGACCATCCGTTTGGAGAAAGAGGAACAATTTGATTTTTCAGTAAGGGGGCATACAAACAAATGCGTCATATTAGTGCATTTTTAGCAAATTGTTTCGTTGGGTGCCCTGTTCATCACGTCATTTAGCTACTAAGTGCCTGGTTACAGCAACTCTAACTATGTAGTTTTTAAATTATCGGCCTAGAATGTGAAAGCGAAAACACTTCGCTGGTTAAAAAATGTCAACCATGGGCTGGTGTAAATTATTAGGACCCAACCTACTGTGAGCGCTTTCAGTTCGCGCCCACTCGCCACGTCCAAAGCTAGTTAATGTTACATACGTTATAGATAAGCTTTAAATACCGCGGGTATTATTAGATAGATTACATAGCAAGTCTTATGCTAGCCATATTTCAGGGGAACTGATGTTCTTCATTCGCTCAAGCAATAGCATTTTTATTTACTTGCAAGTTTTAATGTAAACGTTTTCACTATTGTGTTGAACGTTTCTTGGTCTATAATCGCTAAGTTAGTGAGTAAGACATCTGGTTAAATTATCTGTAGAGATTTTATAATTTATGGCCACGATTATTAATTAAAGTGCTTTTTAGCTAAGATTAACCTTGGAGATCTTTGTTATAGATAGTTCAAGATGACTGCAAGAAAATGAATAAAACCTGTTTAACTAGAACGTTGCCCTAGAGCTTTTCATTCTAGATAAGGTTAAGTTGAATGCATGAATTCACATACTACTCGTAACGATAAGGCGAAAATCACCTTTGAATTTTTTGTAAGGGTTATGGTCTTCTTATCTCCATCGAGTGATAGAAATCTGAGATCTATGCAATGGTCGCCTGTAAGTTAGATTTACTATGTGTAACTGAGCTTTCTTCAAGACTTTAAACCAAAACTAAGTCTTTTTATCGTTCTATACATTTTCTCTTCCTTTCATTGACCGAAAGCCCACCACGTGACCTGAAAATAACTACCTGAAAAAACGGGCTGCTCATGTGTAATACCGTCTAAATGTTTTTGCTGCATATAGTATTCTGTTCATTTGTAACCACGCTCTAGGGTGAAAAATGACAGATCGCTTCCCTGAGCTGTTAGGAAGTGATTAAAATAAGAAAACAAACTTGGTGATAGAATGATAAAACTGTCATTGAACTCCGCTTCGGCAAACACAATCGAACCCTTATTAAGAGGCCCTCTGTAAAGCGGTCACCACTATTCAAATTCCTGAATTTCGCTTCACATATTTACTGTATATTTGACTTCCAGCGATCACCTCTATTAAGCGGACGCGGTCACCTTTTAAACTTCCCAATTGGCTAGTAATTCATCTCTGTCAAACGGTCACCTTACTACATTAGGTGGTCAACCCGAGCACAGTTTTATGGTCACGAGGAACTTACGCTGGTGCTGAACAAAAGTCTAACACGCTCGGGGAGACTCCTGCAAGCTTTTCTCTCACTTCGGCTGGTTTCCATTTCAGTGTCGTTTGATCCTGGATGGTTACTCTTTGTCCGGGTGTTAGTTCAGGAAGTTGCATGCAGACCCGTCATGATAGAATTTTTGGAGCTCCTGCCTCTCCTCTAGTCTGGGAGCAGCTACTTCATTTAGGGCGTCTCTGGGAATTTTTAGTGGTTTAATTTCTTACAGTAGAGGCATGTCTGGCCACGTGCTTGGCATTTGGCTGAGGGTGTTGTGAGGGTGACCACAGTTCCCCTAGGAGGCTTGAAAGGTGAAGATGGCTGATTTGGTGGAGGGTGGCTTTGGTGTTGGGTATCCTGTATCCCTCTCTCTTGGTTCCGTCTCTGTACTAAGTGTATGGACCCATCTGTGATTTAATAGCTGGTTTTCACATGACGTCACAAAAATTTGAACTACAAAACTATTGATCTTCCTGAGATTTTACTTAAATGATGTATAAGAGCAGCTGAAAACTAATATTCATACAAATTTTCGCTCCAAATGGGTTCTTGGTTTTGTGATACACTACGCTTGAATCTCTAAGCTTTTGCGTGACGCGGCATTTACTTGACGGCCTAGAAAGCTGTCATGATGGTTAAAAAAGTGACTTATTTCGGGGAACTTGGCTATCTGAACAGTTCATGTCTTAGAAAAAGTATTATTTTAATGTTTTAATGTTAATGTTTCTGTTGGTTTCCGGTCGCCATGTTGGTGCGCATACGGATGGGCACCAGCATGGCGTCTCATACAAATCTCTATAAATTTGGGTAAAAAATTTATCCGCAAATCTCGCGTAAGAAAAATTGCTGTGACCAGAATTTTGGCGAGAGTCTTTGCATATTTACCTTCTTTCATTTCCCAGATTCTGGACTATATCTATCGACCGGTTTTGATTTTTATTTTGATCTATTTTAAATTGCGTGACACTGACTGAAACCAGCAATACGTTCCCTAGTTGAATCGTCGCCAGTTTATCGTACGCTATTCAGGTTATTGATTGGAAAAATATTATACTTTTGAACCCTAGTTCCTCTATTTTCAGGGGATGGGGGGTGGGCTCACTTCTTTCGGAGGTCGTTACTTACGGACTTTTACGATTCGTTGCG